TGATGCACGTGGAAGCACGAAGCAGGATATCTCACTGTGCACCACGGGTACGTCCTGGCGCCAGTCAGGACTCCTATTAAAACTAATTCCCGAAAGGAAGAAATTATGGAAATCATGGCCTGGATAGGAACGTGACGCCCACCATCAGCATTTCACTGCACCGCATCGTACTAGCCAGCATACACACGACGGGTTTCAAGGTTTTGTTTCTGTCGAAATTACAGGTCTACCTTCATTGGCTTGGCAGTAAAGAACTAGAAAAAGGGATCCGCGTGCCTTTGGTGAGGAGGAAAAAGAAAAAAAAATACAACCAGGAATACATTACGCTTCGCTTTCGAGCAACACGAAAAAGAAGGGAAAAAAATTAAATTCAACAAACACACGTTAGTCTCTACTACGTCATCATGCGTGTAAGCACTGACACACGTCCATGAATAGGTACCAAGAGAGTTTAAAGATTCTAGTGATTGGCCCTTGATCGTATTCTAGCTTCTATCTTCCAAGAGTCTCCAGTTCGTGTGTATCTATAGTAGTTATAAGAGGTAAGTGGGATATGGGGAGAAGGAAAGGATACAAAAAGGGAAAAGGAAGCAGGGAGAGGGATAGGAAAAAAGAAAGAAATAAAGAGAGAGAGAAAGAGAGAGCGAGAGAGAGAGAGAGGCCGGTTTCTTTCTCATCATCAGTAGCAAGAGGAGCATCGCGGTAAGGACCCCTGCCGTGCTCTCCTGCTGCGACCGGTAGCTATCCTCTGTCCCGTTTGTAATACGCATCGCACACGCACGCGCATTAGAATACTGATAGGAATTCGAGAGTGTATTATGTCGTAAAAAAGACAGGGACGTATCCCACATTGCGTTACTAATGAAATTTAACACATGGCATATTATTCGAACCATTTGATTACGATGATGATATCACGAAGCATTTAAGAGTACGTATCTTTGCATTTTAAATTTTTTATCTATCTCTTCTCGTTAGTTCAGAATGATCTTAATAGGCAATCCTCATGAGTATTTTATGAGTTTAAATATTATGTATTTATATACATTTGTGCACGTAAGTAGAAGCGAAAGGAACAAAAAAAAATCCACGAGTCCTCCCATCCCCACCTCTCCCCCACGGTTCGTCCCCAACAGAGCAACGAAAATACCAAATCATCCTGCAGCGCAAGACTCTTTACCTCCACCTAACAACACTAACCCTTTCCCGCCCTTCCTGTATCGGTGTGTACGTATATACGCCCCTGTGCGCTTTTCACGTAGGATATTTATAATGAGAAACCACACGCAAAGTGACGCTATTCTCTGCCAAGTCGTAAAGTATAATATGCAGTAGGGTTGGTGACCTCTAAATTTTTGAGAGTATACAGTTTATCGAAAAATTATGAAAAATACGATTTTTCGAATAACGGTTAAAAACACGCCTTTATATCCCTCATATAAGAAAAACTAGGAGGAATCCATATGGAGCTAGAATAATGAAAAATAAGAATAAAAAATACGTTGTACATTTTTCCATCGCCCTTTTCTTCATCCCTTCTTTCTAGCACCAGGAAAAAAAATCGTCGTGGTAAAAATCCCGCTATCGCGCCTCGATCACAATCTGTGAACTCGGCAAGGTTATATTCACGGTTTTTGAAGGGTCCCTTCGTGGGTAGACAGATAGGACAGGGTCTGGGGTGGGTTTATGTAAGTCCAAAGGCAACCCTGGTACATAAAAGGAGTAGGAAGAACTGGGGCCGCCCTATACCTGTTCGCTTTCTCGGCGAGATCAAAAGGTAGCCGACACCGGCGGCCACTGTCCATGGGGTGTCACGTTGAAAATCACAGTGAGCAGGAGGAAATATTCAAGAGGTCTAATATTCACCTCGCTCTCAGATCTTTGGCTCCTTCATGTCCTCCCTCTCTCGTCTCATCCCTCAGGAGGTTAAACCTTCCACTGCCCTCTTTGAACGTACCGACCTACTGTCTTATCCTGTTTGAGTTGTCCAATATCATCGCGCAGGAGTCTGATCTCTATACTCCTTTGGTCCGATGACTTAACCTGCAACGCTTCAACTGTAATACAGTAAGGGCACTTGTATTGAGTAATACGCTTAAAAATACTTTGGCGTTATTCGATATTGAGGGGTAAGCAAGAATAGTATATCGTATCGCAATTCCCGAAAATAGACGATACCGGATCAGTGTGAAGTTAGCAGCATGAGCCGAGGCGAGTGCTGTAATCGCACGAGTCAAAAGTCGTTTAACCGCACTTGCCACTAACGATCTGTGCAAATTTGAATTATTTTGAAGTGCGCATGCGCCAAAGAAGCCCCGTTGCCGAAAATCGAGTATTTCAAATGGGCGCATGCGCCAACTTTGTTTCCTCAGTCTTCGGAAGTCAAATCAGTTTACTCACTCTCCACAGGCTTCGAAAATCAAATTTTTCCAAGCAATGGTACAAAAATAATATTAGCACAGCTCGAATGATTTACTCAACTGGAATTTTTGGACTATGAACTAGTATGTACTATGCTGTATGTACAATTGATTGTCTGCAACCAGCTGCAAATGCGTATAAACTCACGAGGATATCTTGAAACAAAAAGGAAATGTCGTTAAGTTTAAAAAAGATAATAATCGTTTAGCTGAACAATATCACAAATAAAATTCAGAAGGATCCTAATCTATCCGTATCGAAATTAAAAGTTGAGTGCTAAGGTAGGAGTCTGGATAAAAGATGCGAACGACATTGAAAATTATTCGAAGAAACATAATCATTATTAAATTCGTATTCACTATGTTATCAAAGTTCGTGGTATTCGCAGCGACCCCGTGCCCCCCCCCCCCC